GTGTGTGTGTGTGTGTGTGTGTGTGTGTGTGTGTGTGTGTGTGTGCGCACTTACATCAGTGCCATTTCTTTTGTACAGATGGTGGGTTTCCTCCCAAGCAGGGAGTCCGAGGAGGATGTAGTCTGGGTTACTCTGGAAGACTCTCCGATGTTGCCAGAAATCGATTGGAAGATTTTGACCTTCACCCCTCCTCCAGACCAAGACAACAGTCAATATCGTAAGATTGTTAATAGCATCTAATCTGAAATCATTGGAGATCGTTTTAAATGTAGTATTTGTCCCTTTTTTTTTATCTAATGAGCCAAACTCTTAAAGTTCAGTCCTTTTTTTGGTAATCAGTATGCCAGCAGTGCAATTAGTTTCAATGTTGCTATGCTGGATAAAACTAGCTTGGGAATGCTTACTTTAAGTTGGTAAATATTTCTTGAATATTTATAATATTTGGGTTTACACCTCTAAAAACTGTTTTGTCTTTTTTATGTCAGAAAGGCTCACAAACTTCTCTTAAATCTTGCTATTCTAGCGGGCCTTGATTTTGATGCTCTGCTGATCAAACCAAAGGAGGTTAAGGATGGAGTGAAGCTGCCTCTTATTGTCATTCCTCATGGTTTGTTTCTTTAATTTTGATTTTTAAACCATTATTTGTTTTCAGTAGAGACAAAAATGGGAGTATTTATCAGTTGTTGTGCAATGTTTACTTAGAGAAATATACCAGAAAAGCAGAATCAATATTGTAAATGCTCTGTATTAATAACATACATGAAATACAGCTCCATTTGAAAGTAATAACCCTTTGATACTAATCCATTTTGGATTTACTTTTAGGATTGAATCTGTTTTGGGATTTGTTTCCTTTCAGTCGAGAGCTATTGCTGCAAGATTGTGGTTGCTATGACGATAGTGCGCTATTCTGATACCCAAGAATAGTCTTTTATGACACAGCTTGTAGTCCATGCAGTAGTAATACTGTAAATACTGTAACTCTACATGCATATTACTTTCATACCTCACTTGAACTATGGTTTCAAACACTCAGGCAATAGTTTTTAACACAAACTCAATATTTATCTCACTAGGTGGCCCTCACTCAGTGATAGTGGCTGAGTGGGGTCTTTCCGTTGCTGTGCTGTGCAAAATGGGCTTTGCTGTATTACTGGGTAAGTTCTTATAAGAATGTGAAGTAACTAGACCTGCTAAGAGAACAGTCGTCCCTAAATTACTTTAATTTAGACTATGAAAACATGAATGATTCTCTTTCTCTTTAATATTTGGACTGGGGCTTGGAACAGCAAATTCAGGGTTTTTCCTGGCTCAAAATGGGCACTTGTGGGGTGACTACACATGTAGCCATAATTGGTCACCATGTATATAAGGCAAAACATATGCATTAATGTACTTAACACAAGTCTAAGCAGTTGCCTCTTATTTTAGAGAATTTGATAAACCAAAAGTGATTTCATATGTTTATATTAAACTTAGTTCTGGTGATATATTTATAGATGGAAGGCCTCTTTGGTTGGCAATATAGTTTTTTTCTATATTAGAAAAGTCTGTAATCTGGATTTTGTGTCCAGTCATTTCTGTAGTACTTCCACTTGCTACAAACAAAAATATCCAGCACTAATGGTTTTATTATTGCAAGATTAAAAAAATAACCATGTCACTTTACCATGTTACATTATTTACATATCACAGTTATTGTCAGTACATGGATATCCCAATACCCCTAGTTTGCTTTATACTTTCAGTGAACTATCGTGGTTCCATTGGATACGGCCAGGACAATATCCTCTCACTGCTGGGCAATGTTGGCAGCCAGGATGTCAAAGATGTTCAAGTAAGTGTCCATAACTCTCACAATATTTTTCATGTCATGGTTTTGAATATCTGTACATGCATCCAGTTGTTTGCTGCATGGTGATAGCTTTGTTTACATGACTGAGTTAATTGGTTTCGATATTTAGTGTTTGCGATACATTCTGTTTAAAGCATCTTTATTTATAAGGCCCTGCTTGGACAAATGCCCACCTACATTTGCGATCTGCTCACACGGAGAAGTACTGTTTCTTACAGCCTGCGTTCAAGCGATCTTTTTTTGCTCAATGTTCCATTTGCCAGAACTGAACTGGGAAAGAGGGCTTTTACTTATGCTGCCCCTTTCACATGGAACATGATGCAAAAAGACTGGAAGATAGCAGATCTTATTTCATTAAATGCTTTTAAGTCCAGATTGAGAGAGCCAGAGAAAAATGTTTTTTAAAATGTAATTGTTATTTATAATAAGTATGTAACTTTGTAATTTTAACGTGTTGTCGCCTCTTGGCCAGGACTCCCTTGAAAAAGAGGTTTTTAATCTCAATGGGACTTTTCCTGGTTAAATAAAGGTTAAAAAAAAAAAAAATAACACCAGTTCAGTTTTCCCTCCTTTTGCCTTCTTCTCTCCTCCTACTTTTATTTTTGCTTGGTCCACGTGTCTTTGAAATGTTTTACATTTGTTCTCTGCTTTTGTCGCCACCAGTTTGCAGTTGAAAGTGTGCTGAAAAGTAACGACCTCGACGTGCAGAAAGTGGCAGTTTGTGGAGGCTCTCACGGGGGTTTCCTGGCCTGTCATCTGATCGGACAGTACCCAGAATTCTACAAGGCTTGTGTGGCTCGCAACCCTGTTATCAACTTGGCCTCTATGATTGGCAGCACAGACATACCAGACTGGTAGGTCTTGTCATGCATATTCTCACACTTTTGCCCACATTTGTTTATGCATATTTTTAGGGAACTCATACGCAACCGCATAACTGTGGCATTTTAGCAGCGACACTCCTTCTATTCAGTTACGACAGCTGGAAGTAAGAATGGGCAATAAAGCCAAAGACATTGAAAAATTACTGGGGACTGGTCCTGTAATTGTAAATCCAATTAAATAAAAGTGCACTTATAGCAAATCTAATATCCTTTGACATATTGCAAACATGGAGCAAGGAAAAAAGGGGGATCAGTATGTTTTCAAAGATCTGTCATATTAGTGTCACATGAAAATGCCAACAGCTTACATTACACTACTCTAACACAACAGAGGAAGTGCTTTTGAACTTCCAGATCGGACATTTTTCACATCATGCCAAGATTAAAAATGAACATTAACAAAATATCGTTACAATTTATAGCTTGTAATGATATCAGCTCGGAGGGAAGTGTTCAAAATGTACACAAATACAAGAGGAACAGAAAATGGCGCAGTCAAGCAGTCAATTTGTGTTCCTTTTTTTTCTGCAGGTGCATGGTTGAGGCTGGCTATAACTACAGTACAGACTGTCTGCCTGACCCTGCTGTTTGGGAGCAGATGCTGAATAAGTCCCCTATTAGGCATGTTGCACAGGTATAACCTTGAAAATCTCTTGGGTTTGTGGATATGGCTTTGTAAGTGTTGTTGGACAATGAAGCATGAAAGGTGTTTTCTGATCTAGGTAAAGACGCCGGTACTGCTGACCATAGGAGAAGATGACAAGCGTGTACCTAACAAGCAAGGAGTCGAATATTACAAAGCACTCAAAGCAAAGCAAGTTCCAGTTCGGTAAGCGGCCTCCTGAGTAACGTGTTTTATTGCTTATGCCTGATATAGACGAGATAACTGGAGTCTTATTTTTGTCTGTTGTTCATTCAGTAATGCTCTGGTTTGTGTTGCTTAGGTTACTGTGGTACCCAGGGAACAACCACTCTCTTTCCAAGGTGGATGCTGAATCAGATGGCTTTATGAATATCGCTCTGTGGATAATTCAACACCTGAGTCTGTGATGATACATTTCAGATAAAAACACCGTATAGTGATTACGTTGCTGTTGCTGCCATGAAAGGATAGAATGACACTTTGTGTAAGGGATGTTACGTTCCTGTTTCAAGGACAGTGTGAAGTTCAAACTTAAGCCAAAGCATTAAAAGTGCTCTCCCACCAGAAGGCACTTTGTCTAAACTCTGCTTTACTTGTAATCTTTCTGTGGGTGTGGTGGTTTCCACTGGATGTCCAGTAAGTTTTAACAAAACACTTTTGATTGACAAACATTTTATTGATTGTTATTACTTTATGTAATCTTTACAATCCGTAAAGTCAAGGGCTTTACATCGTGTTGCTTTTGTTAAAGTCAAATCACTTTAGGCAACTTATTTCATATTCAGTCTTTTTAAATCGTGCCGTTTTGATTTCATTCACCTAATAAAGTAATTGTGAACTCACTGTGGTGTTTGAATTTTTACATGTTACTGATTGAGAGCATTCCTGAAACTAGTACTGAAATCGAATGTCATTTCTTTTTTTTAACAGAAGTTCTAGCTACTTGAGGAAGTCTTTCAATTTTTTTCCCACCAATAGGAAACCCCCTATGAAGTGATAAAATGTGGCTATTGAATTGAGAAGTGATTGTCATGGGACAAATATTCTTTTGTGAAGTTTTGGGGGGGGGGGGGTTATCTCCCTTGTGAGTTTAAGAGGTCACATGGTTTGCATCAGACTGCTTTATACCTGACCACCTGCTTTCACTTCTGCATAATGAAAACTGCTTCTTGTGTGAGCACAGTCATCCTCTTATAACCTTACGAGCACGATGCATACTTCACACGCTGTGGTAAGTGACTTTTCATTATATTCTGTTTGAAAGTCATATTTCATTTTAGGAAGTCTGAACTCGCAGTGTAAACATTTACGTACATGTAAACCACCTGATAAGGCTCTATTAGATTTACGGTACTGTGTGTAAGTCTTGAGCCACCTCTTACTTTTTAAAAACGCGCTTGTACGAGTCAATCTTTTTTCTCTCACTCTGAACTCTCTTAGACAAGCTTTCTTGTCATTTCAGTGATTTTCAGCCCAGTTCTTGTGTGATCTGGCGTATCTCAGCCTTTTCTCCCTGCTTTCCTAACTAAAGAATGGCTACTTGACACCCCCATATTTCTAAAGGGTATGACTTTCAGACACTGTACCACTTCTTCTTTTGTCCAGTTCCTTTAAATGTTTTAAGGACACACAGGGATAGGTCAGTTTTTTACTTAATGGCTCTCAGAGAATCACCTCGTTGATGCAAAAATACTATTTTATACGCGTTTTCTTTGCCATGAAATTGGTTCTTTGTTAAGTTGTCAGTTATGAATCTGTTATTTCATTGTCCTTGGAAGCAAAATGTAAAGAAATGAGGGGTTGTCCAAGACTTTTGCACTGTACTGTAGGATGCAGGTGGTGTTAATATTTTATTATGTATATTATATGGCATCCTCAAACTTGTTGTAAGCAACTGAATTTAATTTTGTTGACTTTTTTTCAGGCTCTGGTTAAAAATATCCTCATCCTAAGCCAGCTTTTTCCACTGGTGAAGACCATAAATACAAAATTTTTACCATGTGACACCAATCTGAATGAAACTAAAGTTGACTGCAGTGACAGACCACTCAAGCACGTCCCCTTCATTAAGGCTACATCTGTAGCTTACATAGATTTAAGCCGGACTAAGATAAACCGAGTATGGCCGCATGCTTTCACAGGTGTCCCAAATCTGCATACTCTAAAGTTATCGGGCAACTGTCAGCCGGGCAGTCCGAGAGCTCTGGAAGACAGGTCTTGCAGAGTGAAAATCTCCAGGTATGCTTTCAAGCCCCTACTAACACTGAAACATCTGGATTTGTCAGGAAACAGTCTTGCCTACATACCATGGTTACCAGCGAGCCTGGAAGTTCTTCATCTAGAGAACAACCAGATCTTCAACATTATCTACCCTCTAAACACTCCACATCTCGAAAAGCTCTTCCTCAGCAAGAACTGCTTTTATGCAAACCCGTGCAACCAGTCCTTTTACATCAGTGAAAAGGTTTTCCAAGAGCTCCCCAAACTGAAAAACCTCACATTAGGGTATAATAATTTGACAGCTATCCCTAAAGGACTGCCACTCTCACTGGGGAGTCTGGATTTAAGAGAGAATACAATCACAGAAGTCTTAGAAAAAGCATTTTTCAAAATGACTGCCCTGGAGGACTTAAATTTGGAGTGGAATTGCCAACGTTGTGACCATGCTGCAAGGCCCTGCTTTCCATGCCCACATAATCAGTCTCTAAAGCTACATTCAAACTCCTTTTATTCTGAAAACAGCTCCATTACCATCCTAAGTTTGAGGGGAAACTCTCTGAAAACATTTCCAAAGGACCTTTTCAGACCATTGAAGAAACTGAAAATATTGGACCTCTCTGACAACCTCCTGGCACATGCCATGCAAAATGGGACCTTCTTTAAAGAGCTAACAGGGGTCAAGTGGCTGAGCCTTATCTATAACTATGAACCACTGAAGACGTTTCCAGAACTTAATCTTTCCCCATATTTTAACAACATGTCTGATCTGCAATATCTTCTTCTGAGTGGCAACTTTTTCCTAAAATTTTCTGGTGAAAGCGTTGAAGTCCTCTCCAAGTTAAAAAGTCTAAGAGTTATAGAGCTGAGAATGAATTTCATTAACACTTTTAATATGACATTTGTCAAACAGTTACCCTCTCTAACTTCTGTTGACCTCTCCCAGAACATGCTTAATTTCCTTGAGTGCAGCTCAATTTCACGACCTGGGATTGTGGATGTAAACCTGTATGCAGGCTCTCTTCATAATCAACCTCTCACTCTAATGGATAGAGACGTCACATCTAGAAACAGTGTATGGGAAACAGACCCATTAAATGCTTTGGAAATGTTAGAAGACAGTGTGACAAATATCCCAACACTATTGGGCTTCCAGCACCGAGCAGATGTTCTGGACAAAAGATTTCCAGTAATTACATCACTGTGGGACTTGAGAAATTTTCATTGCAAAAATAAGCTGACATTTGACCTGTCTCAGAATGATATTGTGTACCTTAACAAACATGTGGTTTCAGGCATGGAGAATGCCGTTTGTTTAGACCTTTCCTTCAATTACATGAACCAGGCACTGAGGGGTGGGGTGTTTGAAGGTATGACACATTTAGAGTTTCTTAATTTGTCTTACAATAGGCTTGATCTTTATTATAATGATACTTTCAGGGAACTTAATTCATCTCTGAAGATATTAGATATCAGTAACAATGACTTTCATTTCAATATGAGGGGCATGGGCCATCATTTTGAGTTCCTTGAAAATTTGAATCAATTGGAAGCTCTAAGTCTGGCAAACAATGCTATTGGGATGCGAATCAACCAAAGGCTGATCTGCAATTCTTTGAAGTACTTTGACTTCTCTGGAAATCACCTGAACATCATGTGGGACTCTGACAACAACAAGTACACTAATTTCTTCCAGAACCTGACAAATCTAACCTACCTGGACATCTCCAACAACCATTTAAAATCGCTCTCATCTGAAGTGCTGAGTAACCTCCCAAGTAGCCTTAGGGCTCTCATCGTCAGCAGCAATTCTCTAAACTATTTCCCATGGCTAAACATCTCTGCACTTACCAGTTTACATTACCTGAACCTGAATCACAACTTCCTTTACAAACTGCCAAATTATGCAGTAATATTTGGAGTCAATTTTACCTTCCTGGACCTCAGTCACAATCGGCTCAGTTATATTCCTGAAGATTTCTTTAATAACGCAAAGTCCCTAAAACATTTGTATCTCAGTCACAATCAGATCAAAGAGTTGAACCGGGAGCATCTTCCTGTCCTCTTTAAAAATGGCACTCGCCTTGAGAATCTCACCCTGCATGCCAACCCCTTCAAATGTGACTGCAATACCTCCTGGCTTGCTGACTTCTTGAGTACTACACCGGTACACATTCCTTATCTGACCACAGATGTACGGTGTGAATTCCCAGAGTCTCAGCAGGGTGAGAGCATACTGTCCATGGACCAGCGTTCTTGCCAGGACATATATGGTAGTGTAGCCTTTGTTGCCTGTTCATTTATGACTCTGGTGTTTACTGTTCTTCCTTTACTGAAGCACCTCTACGGCTGGGATATGTGGTATTGCCTGCAAGTGCTCTGGGCTGGACACAAAGGCTACTCCCAGATAGCTGGGACCGATTCGCATTATCAATATGATGCCTTTGTGGTGTTTGACACCAGTAACCAGGCTGTGAGGGACTGGGTTTACAACGAGTTAACTGTCAATCTGGAGAACTCTGGTCACAGGAGGTTTTGTCTATGCTTAGAAGAAAGGGACTGGATTCCTGGGCTGTCATGTATAGAGAATCTTCATAATGCAGTATACAGGAGTGTGAAAACCATTTTTGTGCTGTCCAGAGGTGTTAACGGAAATGTGAATGGTGTGATCCGCCAGGCCTTCTTCATGGTTCAACAGAGGCTTCTGGATGAGAAGGTAAAGTCGTAAAATCAGCCTGTATATTTTCACAAATTTTGTGGCTGTAACTTAACCCACAATCCTAAAATTATCCCTAATTCTGTCTCGAAAAGGTGGACGTAGCTGTGCTGGTTCTGATGGATAAGATTTTTCCCAAACTGAAGTACCTTCAGCTGAGAAAACGATTGTGCAGAAAGTCTGTGTTGTCATGGCCACATCACCCATGTGCTCAACCCCTTTTCTGGAATCAAATGAGAATGGCGTTGTCATCAGATAACCTCAAATTTTATGACAACAACATGAGTGAAAGTTTTATATAACCTACTTTTACATGCTAGCAGAGACAATCATGATTTCAAAGATCTTCCTCCTTCATATCGCTAAATATTAACAAACTTGACCTTCCATTAACATGCTGTCACATACATTTGGTTGGTGTTATAATTTTATTAACTCTTCCATATATATGTTATACATATTGTTCTTATTCCTCTGTTGTTTTATTTAAAAATTGGTTTCTCTGGGGCGTCATTTGTTGTTATTGTTATTATGACCATTTGGATGTATTAGCTTAAATTTTCTTGATTTGTTTTATTTTCCTTTGCCGAATCCAGTGGTTTACAACACCTGTATTTGTATTTGCAGAAAATAATATCCGCTTTCCTTTCCGTTATATTTTGTCAGACGGAAGAACTTTTGATTGCGTTTGTTTAGCATCTTAACCTGTAATTTACCCATTTTATTATATGTACTTTGCTCCACACGCTTAAAGTCATTCATTACTTTTTATGCAATCACTATGCGGGGGCGACACAATCCCATGGCATATCTGCTATAGGCTTGCGTGAATGCACACACTTTGGTGTACTGCTTATCAAATATAATATTTGTCTTCAGACCACATTCACGTTTGGGTTGCAACATTAACTAAAGCAACGATATAATAGAGCTTGACTTGATTTCCCTTGAGTGGCTTGATTTCATAAATACCAGCAACACTGAGCACTCCGCCGTCTACAGAATTTTACTTCTCTTCCGTTAAGTTAAGGGAGGAAATGAAACCAGCACTTGTTGCAGGTTACAGATCACTAAGGACTTCATTATCACCTACTTAAATGATCTATTTTTTCTGTTTGTTTAATGAGAAAACAAAATCATGTCATGTTTTCATCGTCTCGGTAGTCTAGCTTGGCGGGATCTCTTTTCTGAGACCGAAACCAGGACCAAATACAGTTATAGTTACTCACTGTAATTTCTGGTTTATGGTCTGTTGAATGCAAAATAGGATCGTGCCGAACAGCTGCACTTCCCCGATACACTTCAAAGAGCTCCTAACTGCACTGTCACAAGTCACCACATTTGTATTCCAGAATAGCCCGGTTTTACCCAATCACATGGTGTGATCTTAAATTATGTCTCTACATCTACTTCAAGCAAACTCACTTTTGTCTGTGTGGGCTCTTTTGTTTAAAAAACCCAACAATATTAAGTTCCAGCTGCTGTGTAGTAAAGGGAATTTCAGAGCTTTGGCTTTGCGTAATACCTTCCAAGTACCATTCCCAATTCATGATTCATAGGTATATGAAAAACAGGAAACCACCCAATCATGGCTCTTCGCGCTGCCCCACCACGGCTCTTCGTCGCGCACGCGCCAGCTGGGAGAGCGCGCCCACGCGGACCCGATGGCAGTACAGGTCATAAGCTGAGCTGCTGAGATCATGGAGCCTGCGCCGAGGTCGGACAGGGTACTGATGGGACTTTACAGTGATGGAGAGGTACCTGTACGGTAAGCTCGGGCAAACATTTGGGTGCGCACCTGGACTTTGTGGAATTATTAAAAAATAAATAATTCCAACATGAAAACATTATTTCAACAAATTAAACTGTGTGCTTTTAGTTTTAGCGGCAGATTAATTATTATGTAAGGTACGAGTCCGAACTCATGTAGCCGTGTGCATACGAGCAAGAAACTAATCCGTCATGCGGTGGTCATAGTAGAATTATGCTCCGTCTCTGTCGAGGCTGCCCAATCACATGCACAGCGACAGTTTTACTCGTGCCGCGCATGGAATACGGTTAGGTCTGCTCGGTAGTTTTTCCATTGAGGTGGCAGGATGTTGAGCTCCAGGAAAAGCCTTCCAAAGGATTGTAAATTATCATCCGGAACAACCGATCTATGCCGTTGCAGTTTGGGCGGTGATTCGACTTTTCTCTTCGCAGCAACAGCTGGCTGCAAACTGAGAAGTAAGTGCAGCGGCTTGTGGACCGAAATGAAGTGAGGCGTTGTCTACTTTATTTCAGAATTCCGCTCTTCCTTCATCTGTCCTTTCTCGTTCTTTTTGACGTGGGAGCGTGCAGCTGCGTAAACTTGGCGCGTCTCCATGAATATGGACCAGTGACTTGTGATACCTCCATCTTAATGCGAATAATGCAAAAGGGCAAAGCTTATAATAGTAGCTTACCAAGCTACCTTGAGTAGAATTTAGAATTGTTTAGAGCCTGTTTGTAATTTTATTATACTATCTAATTAATAGAATAACAATATTTACTAATTATTGGCCACATTCCTCCACTGATATACCAGAAGTACACACAAATGGGTACCACTGAAGGTTCATGACGCTAACTTCATTGTCTCCACAGTGGATAAGGGATTGACAGCTATGTTATGACTGACAAGAACACTTAGCCAATCGCTCAGTTGAATCCTGTGTAGTGAGTCCCAGCACCCAATCCTCATGGATTAGAGGAGGGATTATGATGTGGATTTGCCTCTGCAGATTTGCAGACAGGCCCCCATTGTGGACTAGGATGATGCTGGGGTGCACTTACTTTGACATGGATATAGTCTTAACATGTACTACGGTGTCTATTTCTCTCCAGTTTTAGCTGGAGCCTAAGGTACAGGTATGTTGACAGCCTAGCAAAGCATAATGACAAATTTGCAATTGCACCTGAGGGACAGTTGGTAAAAATTGTTGCAATTTCCTATGTTCACTGCAGATTACACAATTTTGTTTTCCCTGCAGGTTAGAATCCCAGCACTTTGCAATAAGTAGAGTTAGTGCTGTCCATGGTGCTGAAATGGTCATACTGGTCCATCTTCCTTTTTTTTAATATCCTTTCACCATCTACTGCGGTGACTGAGACTGTGGGAGGTTTTCTAAATATAATGAGCGAGAGTGTAGAAGTAGCCTGTAGTATACTGCACCACTAATGTGCAGTCTGCTTAGAGACATTTCTTTCCTGTCCTCACATTGTCACTCTCCCCTAATAAGGAAGAGCGAGGATTAGGGAGTACTTTAGCAATTGTAAGTCAAGTTGTAAAGCACTTTGGTCCGAACTCTTTTCCTGAAGAAGCACACTAATCCTGTACCTTTGTGTAAAAGGTTCTCTGGGGAATTAAATGTTTAATTTCTTTAAAATGTTCATTAAATAATTACCACAAACCATGAATTACATCAGCCTGGCTGTGACCAGAAGTACAGTTGACAGTATTGTTTGTTATATAGGTGTTGCTTCTAATGCTTGGTGTTGATTAGGTAGTTCTTGATTTAAATCATTGGTGTAATTTTATTTAGGTTGTACAGCTGCTTGTGTTGATGCAACCTTTAACTGCCAAATCAAATTGGTTTTAAATGATTTGTCTCACTTTCACCTTTTTAGAATCCATGATGTCCTGCACTGTAGCTGAAATTACAAGACCACTGACCTGTGTGTCTGGGAGACCTGCTGACAACAGTGACTGCTGCTTTCCTCAAATAGGACTAAATAAAAGTCAGCCTCAAGCCCTAAACAATCAGTCATGGACAGGTGAAAACTGAGAGGCCAGTACGTGGCCTTTACTTACTCTGTTATCCACAAAGGACATGAGCATATTCTCAGCTTTAACAGTTTCTTTTCAGATGTTGTATTTTGCCATGTAAAAAAAAAAAGATGCCTTTAAATATTAGAGCCAAGCCCACACAGAGCAAGCTTTCTGCTGCTGCAAAAGGTAGTGGGCACACCGATGGCAACTCATCTCATTCACGTTTCTCAAGGTCCCCTAAACACGGGAAAGGCAAACAGGCTGTAAGCTCAGCACCAGGGGCCCGTTCAGGGTTAGAACCAGGCTCTGTGTCAGGAGGTGTGCCTGCAACACCATCTAAACTGACTGGGGGACAAGGGTCAGTGTCAAGGCCAGGTTCAAAAATCAAAGCTGAGCCAGAAGCAGGCAAAGGGTCAACGCGTGGTTCAGCGACAGCACCAGGGGGTAAAACCTTGTCTATGGAGAATATTCAGTCTTTGAGTGCTGCATATGCCACATCAGGTACTATGTATCCCAGTGAGCGGGAGTCCTTGGAACCCTCTGGTGGGTACCCCAAAGGCACCATGACACTAGGTAGAAGTACCAGCCGCTCCTCCTACACTGGCCGGACGACAGCTACGGGAAGCAGCCCAAACATCACATCTTCTGGGATGCATCACTTGTCAGATCCTTGTGGAGACCAGAGTTTTCTTTCTGGAGGGACTTCTAGTTTACGGCGGCAGTCTGGAAGACTCACACAGATAATGAATTCGACTGGACGTGGAGAGGTTTCCACATTTGATCTCCATTCTCAGCTGAGGGATCTGCAGAGAGAGAACAACAACCTGCGAAGAGAACTGGAAGGAGGTAGGGATGGAAGGACAGGCCCCAGCATGAACAGCGTCAACTTTTGGAGCCCAGATGTAAAGAGAGAAAAGGGCGTGAGGCGAGAGGAGGGAGCGAGGAGCTCCATTGTGAAAGACCAGCACAGGACAAACCAAGAAGATTTGCAGGTGAGCTTGTTTCAAAAATAGCTGCATAAATAAAACAGACATTTTCTCCACTAAACACAACACTGCGATACTATTACTTCACATTTATGGTTCTCAGTGTAACACCCATAAAACTGTTGCTGTTATTGATGGTGAACGTCTGTCAGTCTTGCTTGTGGCTAGTGTTAGCACTTGCCAAATCAGCAATGAGACATACATGACGCAGGTCTACACTGACGTGTTGGCTAATTGCCCCTGCCTTCCATCGCCCACAGCTCGTACTGCAGAAAGCAATTTTTACTTAAATCTTTGGTTTGTACTGTTACATGATTCAGTATTGGCTAAATTCAACACTGTTTAACATATTATATAAGCTTGGGTCATATTAGCTGCTGAAGTCATTTGCAAGATAGGAAACTAGCATTTTATAATTTGTTAGCTGTAATGCAGGGGTGTCAAACTCAAATCCTAAGTGGGCTGGATCGCTAAATGTCAGGCCAGGTCAGATTTGACCCTTTGTCAGGTCATTTAGCTGTAACGTTAGCAGGGTGACAAGCACAGGTTAGCCAGCTAGCTTTAACTTAACTGCATGAATCTGTAATGCTAAGTTTGTAGCATGACCTTATTTAAGCCACAAAACCAGACAGGGGTCCCATGAATTAAATGCCATGCCTCAGTCACATCCTCTTTTGGCCAAGGTTACTCGAGCTTTCTTATTAGGTAATCATTTAACACTGGCTGACCTGCTAACATGGATTAATTACTAGCTATGTTACAGTGGTCCAAAATCTCGCTGACAGAGGTGACTCAGAAAGTCTGGTAAGGTTGTATGTTTGAAATGATGTTACAAACTGTTCAGACATTGGCATTAAAAAGCATTAAAAAGTCAGTCAACAGAAGCCTGCAAATATCTGTTACAGTAAATGCTGCATTTTTGATTTTACTGAGGTCTTAGTTCTTTAAAATGACACTCTTTAAAAAAGCCTGAATGGAGTGTCTGCTCGCACACTCCATTCAGGCTCTTTGTGCTGACCCACCCATTTCCTCTGCATATCATGCCCCTCACTTCACTTCATACCTTTTGTTTCTGACTTCAAGGTTGCACTGAAAGGCGTCTGTGCGGTTCATTTATAATGATGTTTGCGAGGCTCCCTGTGTTACCATGGGAACGTGCACTAGTGGCATCCACTCCAAGTTTCTAAAAACCCTCACATCTACTCCTGAAGAGACAGTGACTAGTCCTGTCCTGTGTCACCTGTCCCTGGAGTGTGGTCCATTCAGTTCGAGGCATTATCCATTTGTCTGCCTCACTGAACAGCTACTGGATCGTATCTATTATCCCTTTATCTGAATTCTTTGTGTTTTTCATCCTGACAGTATCTCCATTTGCTTTTTAAGCTTTTTTTCCCTTCACGTGTCTGTTTTTCTGATGGAAACACCTTAAAAGTCGTTGTATACAACATGAAACTCATCTAGAGTCTCTCACGCTAAGAAATCGCTGTAGCAACTCCACTCCCAGATTTTTGTATTGTTCTTTTAACCAAGCATGCAAAAACCTTGATCATATCTTCCATGTCTCCCATCTGACTCCTCCTTCTTGTAACCAAGGAGCCACCTCTGCATTCATATTTATAGCTTTTTTCATCGCACATTGTCACAGAGTGTGAGGACACTGTGACACATACACGCACACCTACACACGCATACACACATTCTTCTCATTTCGAAAGCAGCAAACTTTATAAAATAAAGCAGACTGTGTTATTTGCACAAGTCACGCTGCAGCACCCTGCCCTCAAGTGAAGCTCGTAGAAGTTAATAATATAAAGAAAATGCTCATTAGCTGTTTGCTGGAGCAAACCTTTGGGCTTGATCACGCCCTGATTTTTAATTTGTACAGTATTTTTCTCGTGAGCGCAACAATAACTTTAAAAAACCTGTCGCCTTGTTCTGTCTTACTCTTACTTGCGCTGTCCCCGAGCAGCTACTGATGCACACACCTAGTTAAGCTTTACCTCATCACAGTTTTCAGTCCTGACTAGTTATGAAATTCCTCTTTTTGTCTCTCCCTCTTGACCTTTACTATAACTCATAAGGCTCACAGCCCACATAAAATATAACATGTAAAAATCTGAAAAAGACTTCTTTTAAAAAAACCCTGCTTTTAGAGAAAAAAACAGCACAGGGAAGATGTTATTCTTAAGCTTGCTAATCTCCCTTATCGCCTCCGTCTCCCCTCCCTTCTTTCAGCCTGTCACTTTCCACCTCTTTTTTTCTTCATTTCCCCTGGATATTTTCTTTCTTTCCTTTTTTGCTCTTTGAGAGACTGTGGAAAGAGTTCAGTCTGGCATGAGAACTTTGTTATTAGCATAAGGAATGTCACCTCTTCTCTCAGCAGCAGTGACCAGTTTTGTCCCCTAACCATCTGCCTGTTTTGCTTATGTTTGCGTCGGCTGCGTGTTTGTGTGCGTGCGCAGTTGCACGTGTGTATTTGTATCTTGGTTGTGTACGTGTTTGTGTGTAGGGCTCTCCTCCCACTCCGACTTAATATTCAATGCTTGTTGTTGCATTGATTATCTGTGTTCACCCTCGGCTGCCTCCTACGTCTCCACTCCGTGTCCTTGGCTCCATGCACCTTCTGGACTGGAAAAAAGAGCTTAGAATAACTGAGTAAAATAAGTAACACCTTCACACTGATTAGAAGATTGTAATTTAACTTTCTGATAAATCATTGTCTGAATTTTGTAAGTTGCTGTTTGTGTGTGTGTGTTTATTTAGACTATACTTTTTTTTGAGCACAGTTACAATTTCATGTGTCTTTTTAAGCACTGATTGAATTTCCAATCAAAAACCAGGAAGCTATAAAAGCAAATAAACATAATATATTCTGTGTTCTTTTGCCTTGTGTGCTGCAAAAGCAGGAATGTCAAAAGAAATTGGTTGCCCCCAGCAACACACGGACATTTAGCGGTTAGTTGTTAAAATGGTAAATATATTGGCGTATTGGTTAGTCATTGCAGCGGAGAACCTCCGCAGCCTTACGGTTATGAGTCAAGTTCAGCAAATTTTGTTGAAACCCACAGAATTTATTTTAAGTTCCAGGTTAAGCCCTGCCAAGGTTTTAGATGCATTTCCATTCTTTATCGTGAAGAATTAAAAAATATATTTATGAGCCTATAAAGGTTCCCCCAGTTGTTCTATTGATTTTAGCTGAACGTTAAAGGTTTTCAAGGTATCAACCTAAAAGTCAAATCTGGGACAATTATATGAAATGAATACAGGATTTTTGTTAATAGTAATGATAAGAAGAGAAAGAAGATGAAATCACTTCACAAAGACACAACTTTTTGTTTTCTTGCTGTCTCTGTGTTGCAGTCTGTTATGATATACTCACAACTTCACAAACTTTTGAACTTGGGAGGAGTAAACTTACTGTTAATTTGAAATATGGATGCTGACTCTCTTTAGGTCATTTTACAATATTCATAAATTTGTTTACATCAGTTGATTTTTTATTTCTATATGGAATTCCTTCGTACTTGAAACTCTTTCTCAATCCCGTTGCTCTACTTGCAAGTAGCAGAAAAGGAGCTTTTGTGTTCTCCATGTGCTTTGAGGAGAAAACCCGACCCCTTGTGGTCATAGTGTGTAACTAGTCTCCAAGAGCTTTGTGAATTAAGATGTCTAAATGAATCTAGCGAATGGTTATTTGTTCCTATCATGTCTCACTTTTGGCTTCTCATGTGTCTTTGTGTCTTACATCGTCTCTCTCTGCTGCAGCCTGGGAATAACAGAAGAAACAAGGTCTGTCTTCATATACCGTCCCATACTTTACATATGTGTGTTTTCACATGTTGTGCAGATTTGCTCATGTTTATTTAATTATTGAATAAATGGGAACTTTGTCTTTTATAGCAGCTTCCTTTAACAGTTCAGGAACTTCAGGAGGAGCTGAGGGCTCATAGAGAGATGAACAGTCGCTCCCAGCAGCACCGTCAGCAGGGGAACTCCTATCGAGAGCTCCATATGGACCAGGACCTCAGAGGGGGACTCAGCCCTGGCCACAGTCCCAGACAAAGCCCCAGCAACCTGCAGAGTCCTGGACCAAAGAGCAGCCCTAGAGCCAGCCCATCCAACACCTACAATCCAAGGCAACAGGAAGCTGACATCATCATTCACAGCCCTGGATACGGCTGTAACACTGCAGTAGCCGCACAAAGAATCAGCCCAGCTGACACCCTTCAGCGTGGGCTGAGGAGCAGCCCAAATCAGCCTCACTACAGTCCTAGCCAAGGTCCCGGGATTGTACCCTGCTCTGGTTCTCTTCACCCTTGTAGTCCCTGTCAGGTGCCTGGGTGTGACGGCTTTTCCTCACCTCCTCCCCTGGTTCCATCAGAGGAGAACTTCTTCCAACTACAGTCAGAGCACGAGCGGCAGGCCAAGGAGCTATCCCTGCTGAGGAAGACCATGGAAGAGATGGAGATGAGAATTGATTCTCAGAAGCAGACGCTGGGCGCCCGGGACGAGAGCATCCAGAGACTGTTAGAGATGCTTCAAGGCCAAAGCCAAGGTCAAGGTCAGGGACACTGGGGACGGGGACAGCGGACAGGCATAATAACCATGGCAGCACAGGAGGCTGAAGCCCAGCTGGAGAACGTGCATTTGAGAGAGGTACACTTTTTCCTGCTGATATTTATACACATCTGAACCATTCATCTGCACTGTCAGAGCAATTTTAAGAGAAGGCTGAGCATTATGCACTTTACACTTTAGTGTAAAATTCTCGCAGGTTGAATCACGGTACTCGGTTGAATTTCCTGAATTACCTTTTGATTTAACAGTCACTGAGTCAAATATCCCTCATTACCAAATAAAAATCCTTGGCAAGTTAAGCCACTGTATGATCATATGCATATCATAAAACATTAACACAGCATGTCATTTTCAACACCAAAACATTGTCTGTTCTATAGGGTTTTAAAAACATTTTCACTTTAAAGCTGATGCTAAACTATTTGTGTTGCTAATGTTAATTGATGAGATTACACACTTGACTTAGGTGTGCATGCCCGTCTAATCTGTATACATTTGTGTCAGTTTCTATGTATTAAGCAAAATGTGGGAGCAGGAATCAGCTCAGCAGGTCTTATCAATGGGCCAGATTAACATACGGCGAGCTCTAAGCCTGCGTTGAGCCATGCAGTTTTATAATCTGTGTGTATGTGTGTCCTCCTGAGTATACTCATATGGTAGCTGAACAAACAACAGTTTCTGTGCTGCTTGCAGCATTTGATATTCATCTTTAATTCTGCAGCCCATGACTTGTTATGCCTTCAAATAAATACTTAACTAGATAAATCAAAATTGAGTTTAGCCAATGGAAAAACAAACACTTCTTCAGGTGCTCATACGTCTCTATTGCCCGTTGTTTCTTTTCACAATTAGAGTTTTATTATGTAGCAGCCCTGCAGCCAGTGCTGGTGTAGCACAGGTGTATCGGTATTCTCTGCCATTAGGGGCAATACTAGGCTGCTCTGTGCTCCTCACTACTGCCTTATCTATTTTTAACTCCTAAATCTTCTTAGCCTTTAATTTCTCTACCTCTGTGTGTGTGTGTGTTTTATGTCAGTGCATGCTACCGATATTGCTTGTATCATTATGTTCTTGTTTTTCTGTCTTTGTTTGTCTGCCTCTCTGCGTCTGCTGTGCAAACTCAAAAACAAAATTGTGTGTGTGCGCGCGTGTTCGTGTGTCTGTGAATGAGCATGCGTACACATCTGGAGCCAATCGGCTTAGTGTTTTCAAGTGAGAACACTCCCTCTCTGGGTGGCTGATGGGATATCCGCCCATTTGGTCACTGTGGTGAATTTGTTTAAGGGGAATGTGTGTGTTTCAGTCCATGCTAATGCAACCACTGCTGTGTATGTTTGGGTGTGTGTGTGTGTGTGTGTGTGTGTAATGTGTGGGACCTAACCATGCTGTGTGTGTAAGAGGTGAGTACCTGCTCACACACACTGCGTGCCGTGCTATTTTTAAGTACTGGACAGCTTAACATATGCTAGGAGGAGGAGGGGACATGTGTCAGGGAGAGAGGGGGAGAGGGAGTTCAGATTTTAGAAAGTAGAAAAACATGCTGTGTTTGTCTGAATATTAATGTATGATTAATGAGTGAAAACAGCCTGACCTCCCTGATTGAATAGAGAAGTGATTGTTCTCTGAGTTTCCCCCCCAAGTTTCCCAGTTTCTGGTCTCAATATATAATATTATATATATATAATATATACGAATATCGTTGCACCCCTAATGTGTATATGTATATGTTATTATATATATATATATATATATATATATATATATATTATATATATATATATTGTATATATATATATGTATATGTATATATATGTATATGTATATATATGTATATTATATATATATGTATATATATATATATATGTATATTTTTTTTTATATATCTATATATTGTATATATATATATATATACTATATATTATATATATAGTATATGATATATATATTATATATATATATATATATATATGTATATATATAGTATATATATATATATATCTGTATATATTATATCGTGTATATCTATATCTATATATATATTATATTATCTATATCTTCTCTATCTATCTATCTATCTATCTATCTATCACTATCTATCTATCTACTCATATATATATATATATATATATATATAATATCTGTTTCTTCCCTTTTTTGCCTTCAAGAAAAAAATAATTTGGTGGTGGTAAAAAATTGGAAACCTTTTCCTGTTGTTTAGTGTCGCTATTATTGACTCATTAAGATCTCCATCTAAACATGATAGGAACTTAAACATTAATTAATTGATTGGTACAGTATCATCAAGCCTAGTTTGCGGACACAAGGGATACAGTCAAACTTATAGATAAATCTCTCTCTCCTCGTATTATTTGGTCAAGTGTGCAAACGTCTTTATCAAATATAAAATAATTTAAAATGCAGCAAAACATACATAATGCTAAAAAGACATTCAATAAATAGGCCCCCTTCTGTGTATTCTTACTGGTCAGACTAAAGGCCTTTAAAATCACTGTATATTGCACATTTTGATAGTGAATTGGTGTGAATGGCTGCATTAAGGATACCTGAGTTTGAAATAATATTTTTAACAACGAATGTTACACGTCCGGTGGGTAAAATTGCTAAGACAGACTTGTGCCTCCTTTTTTTCTGTTTTGCGGGATCTTCTGCTGCGTGCTGCCTCTCTTTTATCCACATCTTTGGAAAACGCCAAGAAGCCAACCTCTGTTTTACAGCACTGTGCAGCATATATCCCAAAGCAGGTTTTAACTTGTAATTCATCCAGTGGAGGTTAGGTTAAGAATAATGTGCTTATGTAGCTCTCTAGCAAGACAGACGCTTCAGTGCATGACTACCACAGGGAATTTAAATGTGCATGCTTAGATATGTTTGATTACTATTTTGTTATATAGATGTGATTTTGTGTTGCTCAAATAAACATACATTTCCAGAAAAAAACCAAAACAAACTTCATGTGGATGACAGCGCGCGTCACTTTTATTATTATTGAACATCTGTAGTTTTACAGGTGTCCAAGTTACCAGATGCATTCATTTACTCCCTCACTATCATGGCGCTGCCTTTTGAACTGCCAGGATGTTGTTTCTCTTAGTTCCAAAACAAATGTAAAATTTCGTTTTGGCAGACTGGAGGACAGTTTTCAGTCTCCAGTTACTTCCCGAGCCTGTGTAGAGATCTCTATTACATACTGCCAGTCAGCAACATTTTGTGGTTTGCCTCTTAAAAAAACATTAATCAGATAATCAGATTATCGTAGTCTTTTAATGATGTAACACCAAGTTCCTTTGCAGTTTTAGGTTCTGGATGTTCTTTGTAGATCCAAACATGTTACCGACCTGTTGCCATTTAACTAAATGTGGAATTTTCCACCACATATTTGTTGTGTGTAACATGTCATAACTTTGCCTGCTCCAGCTTTGGTCTTTTTTGTAACCATGTTGCTGCCATCATGTTTCTCTTCTTTCAGCTGCTCCCTTTAAGCTCCTCACAGTTTCAACATTTTTCTAATATGTTTTTCAGTGTAGCTCGTTCATCACCACTGCCTTAAACATTTGTTAAGTAGTTTAATGCATTTGTCACTTTGTGGGTGGTGATGAATTAAAATGCTTAGAGGTTGGTTTATCCAAGCAGTAGCCTACTTCCTGTGGTGGCATCTTGTAATTTTTGCTTTACGTTGCAAAGGCGAGTCGGTGATGGTAGCTCAGCTGTTGCCTCTATCTGGGACCACTGCTGTCAGCTTTTTGATTAGCTCCACAGGAAACTAGCCCGACTTCCTTTCATTACCGCACCCATTACTCCTCATCTAAATCTAAATCTCAGCTTGTTTACTTTAAACTGAGATCATAAACGCCCCTTTTTTCAGTTTGCCTCTCATTTTCATTTACTTATTTTTTGCTGGAATGAAGTGGCCTTCTTAACTCTGTGCTTTATCGAAGGAAAGCTGAAGACATCCATTAAAGTGTGTTTGTATGATGAAAATCAGAGGACTGACGGATGTTTCTCCGCATACCATCCAGGACAGACGACGGCCATATGTTAAATCACTTGAACCAGCTGTTTGTGCTTATGTGTGGATTTGCACTGTGTACGGATGGAGAGCGCACTCCATCACTCCTTCACCTGCTGATGTATGTTGTCACATGTATGTTGTGTGCACAGGGGTGTTCTCTCACTTGTGTTTCCTGTTCAACTTTGTCACTGATCCGAATACCTTAATTGCACAAATCCAGCATAGAAACACTGGCACATGTTTCTCAGCCCATTCATAGCACTCATAGACTGATCTGGACTAAAAATGATTTGGATCCACACATTTTAGTCACTTTTAAAAAGTGTTAGTGGGCCACCTGAACTTTTGCAGTACCAGCAAGGTCCACAGAGTGGCAGTGTTCTATCAGAGTTTGACCACTGCAGCGATTACAATCACAAACTGAGCCAAAGTTGTGTGTGATGGGACCACATACACACACAGAGAGACACACACACGCTGAGAGGCATAAATCTGGGCCTAATTGACTCTCCCCAGCCGTCAGGTCCCTGCAGACCCAATAATAACAGCCTCACCACTGGTCTGTTCCTGCCCAGACCTGACCTGCTGCCAAATGTGTCCAAACACACACACATTCACACTTTCACAATGAGTTTTTTACTTGGAGATGGCATGTATTCTTTATACGTAACATACTACAGATGCCGTATGGTCAGCCGGGGCTCTAAAGTTCGGCCCCCTATTGTATCTCGCTCGGTGTGATCGTTTAAGGCTGCGCACTGCTCTGTTGCTGAGAAAAAGGAGTCCCTGTTGTTCTGCTTTTATATACCATGACTGGCTTCAGAGCTTCTGCTGCTTTTTTGGCATGCCTTTATCTCTTTAGCTTTCCAATGCCAGCATGTTGGAATGAAGTGGAAATTCGTGTCAGCAAATCTTTTTTCTTTAATCTTTTTCCCGCTTTTCCTTTCTGCTTACTTTCTCATGCCACCAAGCTCAGCAGCAAAATATTGATGTCTATTCTGCCTCTCTGTCTGGATATGTTTGTCTATGCACTATTTCTTTTGTTCATCCCAGTGTGTTTTGTTTTTTGAGAAGCCAAACTTTCAGCCTTTGCTATAGAAACCCATCACAGCTACCATCCGAAGACTACTGCAAATAACATCAGCAAAAAACTCACATGCATACACGTATACCAATTTTCCCTTTTCCTCACCCAAACATGGGCACCACCTACTTGCCATGCTCTGCTAATTTCCCAGAATGTCTGAGTGGAAAAGTTTATCAGGACAAGATTACACCCCTCAAAGCTTCTCGTCACCTTGCAACCTCCAACTATTTCCCAACAAAAGTCTTTGATCGCCGCAGTTTTTCCATTTATCTTTTCAAACTTATAATCCACCGAGCCGATAGGCAGACACATTTGTGGCAAGCAACTGTTTCCTTTTGTTTTTGACTTTTTTCTCACTGATGGTGAGGGGATAGGAATGCGATTAGTGAACATACATATATGTGTGTGTGTCTCTATCAGTGCATGTTCCAGTGTGTGTACGCTGTACATGACACCATTGCCTTGAGGCTAGAATTGAACCTTTTGACCGTATCCTTCACTCAGGATGCCGGCACTTATTGCTATAGTGTTACGTTTGATCCTATTCATTCCATATGCTCAGTCCCTCGGACACATGTGGAGCAGAGAGGACGGTCTTTGATGACGTTCTCTCTTGCAGGGCTTCATTTCCCCACTGAGAGACACAACAGTTTGCAGAACTGTTGCTGATAACAAGTTCATAGACACACTTTCTCAGAGGAACCAAAGAAAGTGTACAGGCAGTCAAAAAGACAGACATGCGCATTGTGACAAATCAGTCACTTTAATAAGGACTTGAACTGTGGTGGCAGTGGGAATGCTAGTCTGTGGGAGGCATGCTCTGACAGCAGTAATCCCTCCTTATCCACAACTGACACGGACAAGTGGATAAGGTCCTTGTCTGCTGTCATTTCCACTCACTGGCAGAACTGACAACCTGTTGCTTATTTATGATTGTTATGCTTCATGGCATGATGAGCTGTTTCAGTGCATTCAGTCTTCTGAGTTTTAGGCTTTGGTGTGTACATTTATGCATGAACAGTGATGCAAAGTTATAACAAAATAAAACACTTTAATATTTTAAGCATTTTCTGTCCTGTTAGTGTAATATTAGAGGTAACTTTTGAATGGTGAATTCACTGAGCATGTGCTTTTTGTGGTTAGATTATTAGTAATACATGTGTGGATTCACTCTATAGATCACCTTTGTCATTCATTAGTTTACTGTAGCGGTTTCCAGTCCCGCACAAGCATCTTATACATTGAGTTCTCTATAAAGACGACAGTGGTGCTCTGCGGTTCCTTAAAATCAAATGTTTGTGGGGGATTGAAAGCACAGTATCACAGAGGTGCCCCTTTAAGCAAGGGCCACTCCCTCATTACCAAAACGGATCCTCTCCGTGCTCTGGTCAAGCCGCTTGGTGGCGAGAAGATCAGACTGTGGTTGTGCTGGGCAGTCGTGTTGTAAACATGTTTGACTCTGTGGGTGCAAAACTGCATTTCTTAAAAACAACACTGCTGACAGCAATGTCCTTGTGAAGTAGTGTTTCAATGAATTTAGGCAGGCACGTCTTTGTATGGCATCTTTGTTAGACACATGTACCTGCACAGAAATGAGATGTTAAACTCGTGGATGCTCGGGTAGTGGCGAGGCAATTTAAAGCTAAGCTTCAGTGATCATTTGGTAGAGAAGTGTGGGGCCATTTTTTAACAGTAACTTTAATGTGTAGGAATGTGTGTGTGTCTGTTAGCTTGTGTGCTTTTTGTGTAGGCATAGCTGTAGGTCAGAGCTACCATTAATTATTGATATAAAAAGCTTAGCGCATGTGCTGGCAGAAAGTGTTGCTAAGCAAGAGCTTTAGCATGCCAGAGACATCTGCGAGAGAGAACCAGAGAACAAGTGAGAGATAAGAAATCGAAAGATTCAGGCTGAAAGCAGGATAGAGGCAGATTCAAATGACCTAAAGCTAAGTGTGTCAGGTACCTGCTAGCAAACCGAGACAGAAAAAGAAGACAGAAGAAGAGAGGGCAGAGAAAATAGACACCTGCTGCTGGAGATGGAAAACGGGAGAGCTTCAGATCGGGCACCAGCTGACCATAGATGAACTTTGTTTTGTTTTGCAAAATTCGAGACAGAGTAGTGGATAATGTAATGTTACATAACAAAAGATGATATAAGGACAATGTAGGAGAGATAAAACTGGTGACACTGATCGGTGTGCCTTTTGAAGTAGCTCTGACGCTCTTAGAAAGTGTTAAAGATGATGAGCCGTCAGGCTTATTTTTACCGGGTCCCTCCCCAGGAGCTTCATCGCCGAAACCAGCTCCAGGCCGATCCGGCCAAAACCAGGGCTTTGCAGACTGTCATTGATATGAAGGTAGGACTAAGAGTTACTCTCACAGCAAGAGCTGTTTTAAGTAATAATGTGCTGGATGAGGAGTGTGTGTACTGGTGCAATAGGTTTATCTGAAATTCATATATGTCTGAGTTTTTGGCCGTTTATCATAAATATGAAACAGGTTTTTTTAAATCCAGCTAATGTCACCATTTTATTTCAGCAGTGTTATTTGCTCTTGCATTTGTATGTTCAAAACATCATTTTACGTACACCTAGAATGCGCGTAACAGCAGCGGATCTCTCTATATAGCAAAGATGAACATGAAGAAACAGTCTGGAGAACTTTATGTTATAGTTACCTTGCATCTGCATGGCAGCCATGCCCAAGTAAAGTCCATTATTGGCACATGCGGAGTTGAGCACTTATTCAATTTGTTTCAAATGTCACATATGGAAGCTTTCACTCTCATCGCAGCCCTTTGAAGTTGTCAGTGCTGTGAAAAAATGCAGTTGCCTCCACATGTGTCCATGTGCACACCCACGCACACACATTTATTGTTCATTCAGCAAACACTTGCTTTAAAAGTGGATCCTTTACAGCAAAACCACAGTTATTTTTCACACATACTCTGTGATTTGTCTGCCTATTAACAGACTGCACATGTGCTAGCTCACGGTGCCTCGCAGTGTTTTTAAGGCGAGAAAGGGTCTAAATTAAATCTGACTGAATTCATTAGAAACGGGCAGACAAACACAGTTGCCAGGAGGCTTTGACGTATTGTAGGGGAGAGTAAGAACAAAAGAAAGTCATCTCTAGCGTTGTTAGTAATGCGTGATTGCTTTGTTAAACTACCCTGTGTTGCTGTTGCTGTAATCAGCGGTGACATGTAGTGTCCACAAATTAGTTTCAGTGTCTGTGTTGCTTCGTCTAAGTGTTGGATGTGTCCACTTTGTAATTACAGACGACCAACCCCCCTTTTTGTTTTGATCCTGATGTTATCTGGCAGGTACAGTACTGAGTCGACACCTTTTGGTCTTGCTGTGAGCTCAACACTTTCTAGCTTTCAATACCATGAATTCAGTTGAAATGCAACTTGGATGTCCCATAAAACTTTATGTCAGTGGTTTTAAGATCCAGCTTTCATGTAGTTCTAATGAATGTTTTATATGCTAAAATATGCATTTTGCTTCCTCCCCCTCTGTTGTGCAGGAGAAACAGATCAAAATCAGACATTTTTATAGACGTGTTTGTCTCTATGGTTTTATGTGTGTGAACTGGATGTGGCAGGAGGACTCCCATCACTGTCTGAATGCCTTACCTTGACTTTTTCTGGGTACATGTTGAAAGTTTGCATCCTTGCATAGACTCTTTCTGTGCGTGTGTGTTTTGTATATGCATATGCTTTATGCATTTCTCCTTGGTCTTTTGTGTGCACTTTTATGCAGCACCATGTGCTAGGCAAGGCTGATGTCATAGGATGTAATAGAGGTCAGATGCTTACATGTTGCCTATGGTTTCTGCTGATGGCAACATGCAATCTGCTTCCACTTATTAAATTACCTTTCTCTTCTTTTCCAAGGTTTTGCATTTAATGTATGTTTGAAACTATGCAACTAAACAACCTCAGGACCTGTCCATGACAGACCCTTTTATTCCCTCATAGGCTCTGCAGATGAATAATATCTTGGCTGTACACCAATGTCTGCCAAAATATTTCCCCTTCTTTTCCAGACATTTTACTCAGACATAGGACTGTACATTACATTTATATATAGGAGGATTTGTGTAAATGCACTGACTTGGTTTATATGAAATCTCTGTGTGATTTAGATTAATATGTTGACTCGAACATACTAGAAATATGTTTACACAGACAGATGCTGGTAGAGAGATATGTCAACCATTTTTAATGTATCTGTAGAGCGCTAACTGCCTACTAATGCATGCGCTAGGTAATCTATCTTTTAGCCCCACAGCTTAATATTCTTGGCCAGGTCTTTGCTGACTGTTTGCCTGCCTACTGTTGCTGGTGCAGGACACCAAGATCTCTTCCCTGGAGAGGAACATCAGAGACTTAGAGGATGAAGTCCAGATGCTAAAGACCAGCGGCCTGCTGCACTCTGATGAGAGGCAGGATGAGCTCAAGCAGGTGGAGGTCTACAAGAGCCATTCTAAATTCATGAAGACTAAGGTAGAATATCTTTGCATGCCACCTGAGATGACTCCACGCCGCGTGATCCGGGTTTGTCTCAAGTATAAATAGCCAGAAGGCCAGAAACTGTTGCATGTTGCATGTTGCCATTGCTTGTTTAAGGGGAAACAAGATGAATGTGGAAAAATCTTAACTGGCAAACTGCATGAATCTGTATTTTGTATTGTGTGTTTTAGCTGCATTCGCACTAAGCCTCTCATGTTGCATGGGTGCCAAGAACTCCTACATGTGTATGTATTTCTTATTTGATATTTAAAGCCAGGTTGTGAGTAGTGAAAAGCAGTACTTGCTTATTTGCCCTGGACTTCAGTGTGATCACTAAGCATTATACAACCCTCCTGTCAGGAACGATCAGTTAACAGTGCGCTGTGTCGGTTTCCTGACTAAGAATCTTTTATCCCAGGCCGTATACTGGTTTATTCATCAACGCACAAATGTGTCTAAAGCCGCACTGATGACATGCACATATATGAACGTGCACACACGCATGCTGTATGTATCCAAACCCTGTTAAAAATGTAGTTTCAGGTTTCACTGAGTATCAAGACAAGTGCTCATGACGGTTGAGGCCCATGAGTTGCGCTCCATTTGGTTCATTAATGGTGCTCATTGTAGGGCTCATTTGTCATTGCATCGGGGAAGTTCCTGATGCAATCATAAAAGAGATGTTTTTATGAATGGGGCCCTGACAGATGAATGTGAGCTTACAACGGCAGAGGAACAGAGGAAAGAGCTCTCTCTTCACCCATACCGACCCGGGGTGATATACATCACAGCGATGGCCCCCGGCTCGTTCTCCCGTGGCTCGTCTTTCTTCGTACAGTCACAGAGAAACACAGCAAGTCGCCACGCACATGGATATGCACAGATTCATTCTACATGCTGGTAGTGTTTAGGGTCCGGGTCTTTCAGCGGTGTTGGTGACTGGTGTTGAGGTGGGACTGCGATAAGAGAAACCAGAGAGGGCGGCATCGCTGTCCTCTCTGGTTTCTCCTCTGGACTTTGATCTGCTCAAACACTGCAAAAATGGCTTTGGAGAATACGAACACGTGTTAGAGGGTACGCGAGAGCTGGAGCAGGTAAATTTGCTTACCCTTTCGCAAGCCAAGGCTGTGTGGTTGAGGAGTGCAGTGTGTGAAGTAGAGTGGCTGGGCACACAGCTTGTGCTGCATTTTAGTGGCTTGCTGTTTTCTTGTCTTTGTAGGAGCAGGCCTTGTCACCATGTGTGTCTTCCATCAGACCAGCTCCCACCTTCCTCCCCACCCAACAGCCTTGGATCACAGAACAAGCAGAAGTACCCCTCTCATTAGTCTCTCTCCTCTCTCATTATTTCTTCATAGCCTAATAGTCTTTGAAATATCTGCTCCTTATTTTAATTATAATGCCTTTTTATCATTAGTGCACTGACTTCTCATTTCCTGACTTGTTTTTCTTAGTGTTCAGTCACCGCAGTGATCTCTCTTATTGCATAGCCTCATATTTCGATCTCCTTTCCCCTGCGTTTCATCTCAGTGCTGGATTTCTCATATGCTGTCTCTGTGACTGAAGGTCTATCAGCCAGACGCTGAGCCAGTCAGAATCCCCCTTTTATGAAGTGAACCTTGCTCATGCAATTTGAGAAATCTCTCTTCAAATCAGCTTTGTGCATTTTTGGCAGCAGTAGACAGATGACAGTATTCTCTACATAGCAAGCCTCAGCACAGAAACCACTCTGTGTTAGAGCATTTTATTTCCTTTGTGGTTTTCTGTTATGTTCTATATGGGTTTCCTTAAAACAAATCTGTTTCCGTCTCTCTGTGAATGTTTGTCTCTTGGCTGGGGTGTGTGCACACAGTAGGTCTGGGACTCCTCCAAGTGAGGATTGATAATATAGGGCTGATGATGATTCCAGGACATCATCGCTCCACAAAATATGTCACAACTGACGTGTTTATATTGCAATAAATGGATAACAAAACATTCTGCTTTTCCTAATTGAGTCACAGCATCAGAGACGTTTCAGATTTCCTTTTTTTATTAATCAGTGACACAGTTATGAAGGATGTAATTTTGTATGTATTACTCACTTCTATTTTAAAGAGCAGCTTAAGACTGCTGTTGCCTTTAAAATAGTGTATTCGATATGCTTGTTCTGGAGGTCAGACTCAGTTTGCACCTCAGGTAACTTGAATATAATGAAAAAGTTATTTTTTGTGGTTTAATTAAAAAAGGCACATGTTCATATATTCTGTGGTCAATACACGTGTAGTGAAAGATATCAGGTCATTGTTTTTGTCTCAATTTGTTGGTTTCTAAGTCATGAAAATTAGAAATCCCCAAAGCGTTTCCTGACAACAATTAAAGAAATCACTTCCAAAATTCCATCTCCTGCAGTGTTGGTTCATTTAGCGCCAACACTGCAATCATTTGCTACAAATTGCTGCGTCAGAGCAGTCTGGCATGGAGGCAAAAAGCTTGTGGCACTGCTAAGGTGTTATTGAAGACCAGGCTGCTGTGATGGAAGCCTTCATCGTGTATATTTTGGGGTTGGCTTCTGGCCGATGAAGCACAATAATAACATGAAACACAAAATTTACTTTCATCTGAAAGTAGCAGTCCAGTGTAGTTCATTCAGCAGTCCAGTTCTAGTTCACCTCAATCCAGGTAAGACACTATTAGAAGTGTGACAGCAGCCTCAGCCCACTCCAAGTTCTTGAGTTGACATTTTCTGATTTCTCTTTGTTTGTGTCCTTTTTCTTACCATGCATTTACCTTCCAGTCAAATTTCCATTAGTACGCTATCACTACCCTCTATACTTTTAAGATTAAGCGTAAAACTTTCCTAGCCTGCCTTTCAGCAATGATCTTCGGTGGTTTACCCTCTTTGTGGAGAGCATAGGTCATCAGGCCTCTGGACAACACTCGAGTCACCAGCCTTCCCCTTGATTGTGGTTGTGGGAACTGAACTAGGCTAAGAAACACATGAGATGTATACTCTTTGAATTCAATCAAACTCCAAATTCTAACAATTTTGAAATGCTGGATTTATGATTTTCAATTTCTGTGAGCTAAAAAAGGCTTATGTGAAAAGCTGATCTGTTTAAATTAAACTACAAAAAATAAACTTTTCATGATATTCAGATTCTTTTATATGCACTAGTCTGACATTGGTGTATCTGTATCATTGGTGTATCATTGGTTTAAATGAAAAGTCATATTTTTGAATGCATGTCTTATCTACAAGTATATATCAAGTATATCTCACTGATGACCCTTATTTGTGTGTTTGTGTGTGTGTTTGCGTGATTGTCAGATAGAGCAGCTGAAGCAGGAGCTGAACAGGAAGGAGTCTGAGATGCAGGCGCTGCAGACCAAACTAGAAACACTGACCAATCAGAACTCGGACTGCAAGCAGCACATCGAAGTGCTAAAAGAGTCGCTCAGTGCCAAGGAGCAGCGCGCCAATACACTCCAGACAGAGGTCAGTGTGTGCACATTCACACATGGAGCAAAGCAAAATCCAAAGACATACAAACACACACCAGTAAAGCCACAAACATGCAAACACTGACACTGCACTAAACCGCTTTCCAGCTTCTTGGAAAATAATTTCAAAGATACACACATCACGAGACGGACACTCTGTAGATCACTGCAGTAATAAAGACTGGAAGAAACACCGTTCTGACCACTGTGCATCTATTGGTGCATACAATAGTAACTTTGCATGGTCTTTGTTAGAATAGAAACTGTATGTGTGCAAAAAAATCCTGCTTTTTTCTGTTTTGTGTTTCTTTCTCCTTCTGTTTCTCTAACGGCCGCTGAGGTGGGTGGAAAAAATGTCCATGCGTGTGGTTCCTTTAGTCCACCAGTGGGTTTGTGTGTGTGGGCGGGTCAGTTAGAGGGCTGAAGAAAGCTGGCAGCTTTTTCTTGGTCATGTTTGAAGTTCTAAACTCTGTGGCTCTAATGATTTTATCACTGCTGTTAGAGATGGAGGTGGGTTCTATTTAGTGAGATATAGGTGTGTGTGTGTGTGTGTGGGGGGATTGGTGAGCATTTAGCATTTTTCTACATAACTCTCTAGACTTGGAAGTGATACTTTAGATCTCTTTGTGTTCAGCAGTTGAGAGTGGTCTGCTAACTATGTCCACTCATCATTACAGGAAGCAATTTGGGCCAAAATTAGGCCTAATTGTCCATACATGTGCAAGGAATTTTGGCCCTTGTAGTTAGTTGAATACATCATACGAAAAGAAATTGGTTTTCAGTGGGTGGTTTTTGTAAGTGTGCATTTTTCTCTTTTTTTTTGTTCTACTGAAAATGCATGTTTAAAAAAATGTATGCGTGTACAAGTCATGGGTGTGAGGAGAACAGGGCCTGACCAAGCAATATTAGCTTCTCACAAATCGCTATTAAGTGCCCAATACTGCCAAAATATATTCAAAATGAAAACAACATATGAATTTTAATTGAAAATCTGATCATTTAAAGACCTACAAAGTGACAAACGCTAAATGAAACACAAACTGAAGAAGCAGGGGATGCGTGGTTCAGGAACACATGGGTCTGATTGGGAAAGGCGACTCACGTGGGACCAGGGCATAGGTGGAAACAGTTAAGGTGGGGAAGTCAAAAATAAACATAAAACAGGAGGTAACCAAGAAACGTACATCTAACACTGAAGGGGGAAATAAAAACACAAATGAGCACCACAAAACCAACAAGTATGACAAGAACCATGCCAGCTGCAGTCTAAATCCACCAAAATAACAGGGGTTCTGCAGCCCGTGGTTCATGGATGCTTTGGCTTTGTTTGCATTTTGGACAGATCCTTTTTACTGCCGCAGACCAGTGTCAGTGTAATTTTTAACTTCAGTGGGAAAAGCTGATAGTAAAGTAGAAATAATTACATCTGCTTATGCAATGCTCACGCAGAACTGAAGATGCACGCCAGGGAAAGATGTAATCACCTCAAATGCTTCTGACATAGATTGCATCACTGTACCAACATCAGCAGCCGGGCTAAGTGGTCACACAAATCTAGTTATCAGCTCGTTAAGTTAACCAGGGTTCCTTTTATTTGAAAGGGGTGGTGATGGCAGCAGAGCAGCTGGTTTTACACAGGAAGATAAAACTATATGAAGGCGTTAAACTGACAATAAAGCCTGAAAACAACACAGCTGTGTGAGTATGTGTGTGAGAGGAAAAGTACTGTACAGTAGTGCATGCGTGAGCACTTTAGCCACTTTGGTCAGTACGACTGGAAAAAAGCCTGCTATATTAATAAAGTTCAGCCTATTTGAAGCCAGGAAAGAAATCCGACAGAAATGTAGACTGTGTAAGTTAACAGACTTATTGCCTTCATAGCTTTGACATTAAGACACGGGAGAATCTGATGGAATACAACTGAGTATTTCATTAAATTAATATGATATGTGGGCGAGACAGTTTTATTTTTTATTCTTTAGGCTGCAGGTGGTGTTTAGTGGTCTGAGAGCAATTAGTGAATGAATACAAAAACAGAATTCAGACCCAGGCTGACCCAGGATGACTTATTAAGGCTTTTAGAACAACAAAGTAGTTGTAAAGTTGTTTGCAGCGCACAGGGAAAAAAGTCAAGGAATGAAATTAAAATGATTTCTTACTGGGAAAATGCAAAGACTTAGACACTATTAAAAAAACTTTAGTCCCATCCACTGTCTGTGCACAGAGGTGCAGGACTGATGATGCAGTGTTTTCATACCTGCTGATGTCTAATCTGTCTGCTCTGGGGCAGATTAGGGCACAAGTTACCATGGCGATATACCCTGGTAAGAAGTGCAAGAGACCCTGAAGTGTCCTGGATGAGAGGGGATCTCATAGTACGGGCCTCTGGGCTGCATCAGATCCTGACTGCCATAAACACACAGTCACACACACAGACACACACAGAAACACTTACACTGTCAGGACTGATTGCTTGACTCTCATCTCCGGTTTCAAGTAATTTTTCCTGCTATTGAAGTGGCATCTTCCCCTGCTTGGGAATGGCTTAGGTTTCCTGGACTAAGTGGGCAAACCAGAGGATGAGTAAAGATATTTAGAGCTCTTTAGTGGGCCGGCGTGGCCGTGCATTCCTCTGCTGCCTGTCAATCATTTGGCCAGAGATGGCAGCCATTCCCACAAGATCCCCCCACTCACCTCATTCCTTCCATTTTCCTTCAGCAGTTTTCTTTCAAGCTTTCTTTCAGCCACCTATTTTCTTTTGTCTCACACACGACTTCTGGCACATCACACGCTCATATACAAGAGTGTGTGCATGCATGTGTGCCAGGTGGGTCTCATCATGAATGACACTGATTGGTACAGTTGTACATTCCCCCAAGAGAAAGACTGGTTTCTGAGACATGAGGAGAAGCTTCACCTCACAGATTTGTCTCTAGAAGCAGATGGGAATGGCCCCTGAACAGAGGCGGCCCTGTGAGCAGCAGAATGAGAAAATGGAAGCGCATTTTATTTGTCAATCAAAGTTAAGGACGGCGTCGTAATGGATGTGATTGAATCTGTCTCCAGATAACTGGAAAATGTGGAAAATAGTGTGTGTACGCTTTTGTGCGAGCATTCTGGGCCTGCCTGTGTCTGTGGAAACTTTAATACAGTAGATGTGTGTCTTTCCTGCCTTGATCAGGACAATGCGGGGCTGAAATGATACTCTACCAGATCAGGTAACCTATCAGAGACCTTCCTGCATATTTAACCAGCCAGCAACAAAGCACAAGGCCAAAGCCCCAGCTGCCATGGGCTTTCTTGGACTAGGTTTAGATCTCTGTCAGAAGATTGTTTTGAATGTTATGAACATTTGTTTAAAAGAGGCCAGATCGGGCTGGGATTGTTAGTTTGATTTAACTGTCACATATCTGTTAGATGGATGAACCTGCCCTTCAGTTGTGCTGTCAGTTTTCTCTGATAGGAGTCGACATTCCAAAACAAAATAATGATCCTTAAAATACAGGTTTTATTGACTCTAAGCTCGGCTGTGTTAAGCAAAGCAAAAAATGAAAGCAAATCATGACAAAATAAGAAAATTGACAGAAATAAAGTGCATAATAAATTTCATTCCTGATGGGGAAAGCTAGTTTGCAAAAATATTTGGCTTAAAAAAGTCATTTCTTTCCCCCATCAAACCTAAATCCAACCAAAACACAACACTCGACTCTTCGATGGTTGTCACTGCAAAGACTGCAGACCTTCTGGTTCCCCTCCCAAAATCCCCTGCACTGAGTGTGCCTGTCTGTTTGGCAGCACAACTAACTGATGTGTACTTAATAAAATCTAAACACAAATGGTTTCTTGGCGTTCTCTGTGTGAGCAGTGTTTGCTGATTAAACTGATAGTTTACTAAGAAACACATAATCAATTAGAATTCTTAACATCACTGTCACATTGTATTAATGTCTTTTGCAGATATAAGGCTTAAATTTTTTATGATGATTGTACTTTGATTTACATGCAGCACTCTGCAATAGTAATAAGTTATTCCTCATTTCTTTAGATTTTGCTTTAGGAGAACCAGACTGTTTTCCTGAGCAATAGCTTTCCAGGTTTTCTGAGTTTTTCTATGGACATGAAGGCACCTGACTCAAGGGGTAAAGCCGTTTTTGTGTCTATACATGACAGATGCATAAACACATTGTGTATTCCCATTTTTTTGTTGATTCTAACACAAATGCCAAAGATAAAAAATAATATTTTTTCACCTACAAGGTAATTCTCAAAGACCTGCTAGCCAAAACCTTTGCATATCTCATCATGGTGTGCAATGTGTTCTTAAAACATTTGAGGGAACTGGACAAGTTTAATTCAATTCAATTTTATTTATATAACCCCAAATTAAGTCAAGTGGAGAACAAAAAGAAGTGGCTGGGCTAAAAAACGATATCTATAGCAGATGAACAGTATCTGAAAGTCATGTCCTTTAGTTATATGAAAAGAAATCCAGGAAAAACTTGACACAAGACCTGGGAGATGCACCGGGCCCTTCAGTCGATCCAGCTACTGTTCGCCAAAGCCTCATCTGAAATGCTCTCAGTGGAAAGGTGGCTGTCAAGGAGCCAGTCTGAAGGAAGTGTTACAGGGAGGAGAGGTTGAGCGACGCCAGGTTACACAAGAACTGGATGAAAATCAATGTCAGCGGGTCTGGATGATGAATCCAAACTGTCAAATTATCCGAGGTCATAAGGGAAGTATAACACTGAGTGTCTGCTGCCATCTGTAAAACATAGTGGAGACTCATTCCTAGTTAGTATTTCAGCCAGAGGTGTTGGGGATCTTGAAAAACTGATCGAATTATGAACGCAGAAAGGTGCCATCAGATTTTGATCCACCATGCAATGCCATCTGGAAAGCGTCGGATTGGCAGTGGCTTTATTTTTCAAAATGACATTGATCCCAAACACACTGCCAATGCAGTAAAAGCAATACCTGGATAGCAAAGCACACAAT